TGGGCAGCCTCACCTTGAGCACCTGCTTCTCTGGCACCGGTGGCGCGGAGATCGCTGCCCAAGCGACTGTTCAATGTACCCAGTATTTCTTGAATAACCAACATGGGCAGTTCACCACGTACTGGGCGTGCGATAGCAGCAGCGAGTGCAGAACTGAGTTGCAGTTGCTTGAGCACCCGCCAGGTTGCATCTTCAGAGACATATGTGATTGCATCCAGGACTCGATCAGGACTGAAACCGAGAAGAACGCTCATGCCATGCGGTACGAAACTTTCCAGAGGGTCTTCAAGGCGAAAGGCTTCGCCAAGAACTCCATGGGCATCGGGCGCTGCACGGTGCACCCCAATCGGCAGTGCGTCACTCGAAAGGCCAAATTACACATTGCAGGGACAGAGTGTGTTGTTTGGAGCAATCAGGGACCACAGGATGGAAATTCGGGCAACAGAAATCTCGCGTGGGGCCGCTGGATCGGCCAGCGCAGGTGCTTGCAAGAGCCAATCATTTTTCACGAAAGCGTGAAGCGTTTCCCCCTCTCTCTGTTGCAGGAAGAACTTGGAGACCTATACGTGGTGGCGCCTGAAATGAGCGTTGTGATCTGCCCGAGCCGCTACGGGCAAGCTCACGAGAGATCTCGCCGTCCAAGCTTTCTGATCCACAAACAATGCATCTCCATGGGCGCCCGTGAGTCTGTGATCCTCGGGAGCTCCTGGAAAGATTATTGCGAATATGCAGAGAGGAAATGCAAGTTCAGTTGGGATTCGTATTTCTGGCAGAACCGCGATGATGCCGAGGTTCAGGCGGAGCTCGAGTGGGCGAGAACCCGCGCGGCGGTTATCGCTGAGACTGAGACTGCCGAGGGCATGGATCTCCGTTCGCATTTATCTGAGTTCGAGGCCGCGCTCAGCAACTGGGAAATCGAGAACTTGCGCCGCTACCAGGAGTTGGAGAAGGATGGCATCTACACCCTCGGACAGCATGCACTCAAGCATGCGCATTACTCCAGACATAAGTCTACGATGCACACGATCATTAAGCATCCAGATCTGCATTTCTCCAACAAGCACAAGCGGTGGCTAACCCCGAAGGAGCTGCTGACGATTCACAACTACCCCATGATCTCAGATGCGTCACAATTCCGATTGCAATCGTCTTTCCAATTTGATCGAGCATCGAAATGCTTCGGCCCCCGGTCCAGGACGCAAGTTCTCAGCCAAATTGGAAACGGGATGTCGTTGTGCACAGAGAACTTAGGCATCGCATATATCGTGAGCGTTCTCTCAGCCTGCTGCCCGATCGCTGCTGCTGACTGCCCATCGTGGCAGGGCGGCTCGCTGATCAGTTTAGCTATGACTGGGGGGCCCGTCCACCCGCGAGATTCTGGGGCGGACGACCGCAAGAGGAGGCGCGTATTGTCCAAACGCCCGAGCTCGGTTTCAGATGGCCAGAGCGATGCGTCCGTAGAAGCTGCCCGGAGCATTCGCCGTCTGATTCGTCGTTCCTGAGGTTTCACATCGCGCTTGCGCGCTTACATGTTTCCATGTTCATGTCGCAGAGCGGCACATACTTGCACTGAAGTTGGCGGGCTGTCCCTCCACGCAAAAAATGCACATCGCATATCCGTCGGTTCTTGAGCTGGCTTTAGTGGAAGGATGAGAGATGAAGAAGGCAAAGCAGACTGAGAAGCGAGGATGAGAATAAGGTGCACGAGGGGGATAAAGATGGGGAGGGGGATGAGAAGAGGAGACGGGGAGGAGAAGAGGAGGAGGAGGAGCTCAGGGGAGGGAGCAGCAGAGAAACACTATCTCTCTCACCCCTATCGCTATCTTCTCTCGCACTCTGCAGGCAACGAGGAGTGGAAAGACCGCCTCATCAGGAAGTACGGGCAGGAGGCTGTCCATAACTTCTTCAGGCCGCTCGAAAGCCACGAGACAGTCGAGGACGGTATCCTCCTCATTCTCGCTCGATCCTCCTCCCACATGGATCCGTCTTCTTCTTCTTCCTCCTCCTCATCTCCTCCTTCAGGACCGCTGCCCCCAGCACAGCGGGGTGAAGCGCTGGAACCTCTTCCTGGACCTGTTTTGCTCGGGCCGCCAGGACTTACCGTACTTCAAGAAAGACGAACCCGATGTGAAGTGCCTGGCCCGGAGCATGCACAACCAGAGGCGCCAGGAATCAACTGTGAAATCGTATTGCAGGAACGTCCTCGCGTATGGCGCCAACTGGAACGCGAGGAGCGCGGCCATCGCCATCGCGGATCACTGGGCGGAGACGGAGGGAAGGACGAGGAGGAGGAGGAGGAGGACGAGGAGGAGGAGGAGGAGGAGGAGGAGCAGGATGAGGAGGAGAAGGAGGAGTCGAGGAGGACGAGGAGAGGGGGCAGAAGGGGGAGGAGGAGGAGGAGGAGGAGGAGGAGGAGGAGGAGGAGGAGGAGGAGGAGGAGGAGGAGGCGCGGCCCTCAACGTTGCTATCTTTCTCCATCGCGGGCCCAAGCGGGCCTAAGAGGGCCCCTGGGGACCACCCCTCGATTTCGCTGTTTTCGTGAGGCCCCTGGAAGCCGCATCGTCCGCGTTCTCATTCACCTCCTTCCTCCGCCTCCTCCTTTTGTATATATATCTCTCTTCTTCTCGCGCTAGGACGCAACCGACCCCGAGAATTTCTACCTCCTCGCTGGGGGCACGCTGACGGAGGCCGTGTACATGGCGGTGCACATGTTTCGATCGAATGAGTACGTTCTCTCGGCGTTGGAGAGCGGGGTGACGAACGCCATCGTGCTGCGCCCTGTCATGCCTGGCGATTGTGCCGAGTGGATGCAGGCGAACGCCAATTCGTACAACGCGATTGGCGGGTCGGCTACGACCATCATCCAGATTATGGAAAAGGTCAACGATGCCGAAACAACTTGGAAGAGCAAGCGCAGGGTCGATTCCGTCACTGTGGACGGGTGCCCAAAGAAGGGCCCGTACACCTACGCCAAACTCTATTCGAACCACGTCTTGGGTGGCTACAAGTTGTACTTCGCCAATTGGGACCATTTTCAAGCGGCGAAGGGCGCCATCGATAAGGCGACGCACACCTTCGGCGTGTACGAGGCCTGGAAGACGTTCTGCGGGGACCACTGTAACTACTTGGATACGGCCACGACCAAACAAGGGCTCGCAGAACTTCATAATCACATCCTTGTCATGATGGATCACTTCGTAGGCTCGATGGACGAGTGGGTGTTGAAGGAGACCACGTTGCACCTCCTGATGATGGCGACGCCGATCGATCCCTATGAGACGGACGCGGCTGTCCTCAAATACAAAGACGTCCTGCCCATCTCCGTGGTCGCGAGGACCAAGCGCGTGCTCTCCGTGTTGAAGACGCCAATGGGTGGCAGTGCCGTGTACACGAAGATTGCCCAGAAGAGGAAGCTGATGGACGACGCCGCTGAAGCCGCTGCGGCCGCAGCTGAAGCCGCTCCCATTCAGGACAAGGACAAGGAACAGGATCAGGAGCCGCCTGCCTCGAAAAAAGGTCGTGGAGCCAGAGGGGGGGCCACTCCCAAGCCGAACGCCACGGCTGCGCAGGCGTCCGTCAAGGAGAATTTCTCAACCACGATCGGGAACGAGAAGGTCTCGCGCGAGAAGCTCTGGTTGGACGACGTAGTGCAAGCGGTCCTAGCCCCCGTTCAGCCTCTCGACGGCAGGTGCATTCAGCGGCCCGAGATCTCCAAGATTATCCTGGATGCTTTGCTATTTGCCATCAAGGGGAAGATAAACCTGAATGGCAAGGATCTGAAGGCGTGGAGCAAAGTGCGGAAGGTTTTGCAGACCGACGTTGTCAAAGTTCACATGCAGCCCCTGAGCGCTATCGCGGCGAGCTTGACGCCAGTGAACCCGCAGAGCTTCGAGGGGGGCGAGGAGAGACCGCAGGCGCAGGAGGATGAAGATGTTCCTGAAGCTGTTAACCCCGAAGGTGTGGCGCTGAGCATTCTCCAGAAGCTGCACGGCGGGAATGTTGTCGTCGACGACTACGAGGCGCCCCCTGCGTTCCATCCTTCCGTGGAGTCCTATATCGGCAATTACAGGTTCGCCTTGCAGTTCAGGACCGAACACAGGGCAACGAAGAACGTGCCCATTACCACGCGTCCACGGGTCTTATCAATGATGGCATCGATTACTGCGGAGCTCCCGGCGCTCCATCTCGAGCACGCGAACGACTCCAACAAGCTCCCGGTTTCCGTCCTTCTTGAGCTGTTCAGCCGCCACGTGTACACCATCTACGACGACAAGTGGGGCTCTTTCGGCAGTGCCATGTGCGGCATCGTCTGCGAGGAGATGTGGAAGACGGCCGACGATGCGGCATCTCCAGAGGACATCAGTGCGGGCATATTCGAGACCTGGGCCGAGATTGACCATTGCTTCCAGTCTCGCTGTCAACTTCAGCTGATCTTGATCAAGAGGCTCATGTCTGGTGCCGCTGCCGTCACCGAGCAAGACATGGGCTTGCACGTTACCGCGATGGAGCACTGCTTGAGCGACCTCGCAGCCGTCGAGCTGAAAGTCAGCCAGAAGAACAGCGCCTCATTCTGGGCGGTACTACTCGGTAACGCTCCTGCCAACATCCAGACCGTGGTCATGCAGTCGCTGCCGCAGAGCTGCAGCAACGGCCGCGCCGCCGCCGCCGCCGCTTCGCAGAGCGAGAGCCCGACCGATTCGCAGCTGCATGCGGTCACTGAGCAGGCCAGCACCAACAAGGACACCTCCTCCTCCTCCTCCTCCTCCTGCTCCTCCTTCTCCTCCTCCTCCTCCCTGCTCCTCCTTCTCCTCCTCCTCCTCCTCCCCCCCCCTCCTCCTCCTGCTCCTCCTCCTCCTCCTCCTCCTCCTCCTCCTCCTCCTCCTCCTCCTCCCCCTCCTCCTCCTCCTCCTCCTCCTTCTATCCTGCTGCTCCTTTTCTTGCTGCTCTACCCCCTTCCCGCCCGCCCCAGGAGGGCGCCGGCGAGAAGAAGTCCGAGGCGCCTGGCGTTGCTGCAGCCGCCGTGCCGTCAGCGGCCGCGGGCGCTGCGTCGCCTGGCGAGGGGGCAGCCGCAGGGGCCGCGGGGGAGAAGGAGGGGCCCGAGTCCGAGGTGGCGCCCAAGAAGGAGGAGAAGGAGAAGGAGGAGAAAAAGGTTTCGGAGGAGAAGGCGGACGCACCCACGCTGGCACAGTTGGCAAAGGGTGCTGATGGTGATGCTGTTGGTGACGCTGAGGTTGAGACTGTCAATGATGACGGTTCGTTCGCTGTCATGGCCGTCCATCGCGCTCGCAGCTTGCTCGCCGCCGACGCGGGGGCCACGTCGTTGGGCCCGATCGTGGAGGTGTTCATGCAGCAGCTGCAGGCGTTCGTCTTCGAGCAGACTCTCGTGCCCAAGTCGACATTGTCGAAGCCGACCTACGATAAAGGCTTCGAGTCCCTCTTCATCAGCAAGGGCCCTGGCAAGGGCGACGACTACCAACTGCATGCGAACAAGTTCAGCAAGAACCTCCACATGAACTTCGCAGGTCAGGTCACCCGCGTCCCGAAAGTCGGCAGCTTGCCCATTTGCAAAGCTTTCGACCAGATGTTCTACATAGAGAAGGGCAAATATGGCGACCCGTCCAACCTCGGGGCATTCTGCCCAGCATGGTTGGTGTCTGAGGCCGCGCCGTTGCCGCCCGCTCCCGCCACTGGCAACCAGAGGGCGATGAAGACTTGGAGGGCCAAGGTCGCCGCGATCCAAGCGTTGGGCGAGGAACCGAACATGGCGGTGACCACGGCCGAGCGCATTTTCAAGTTCTCGTACAAAACCTTGCAGGATGAACAGAAGCTAGACGTGAAGGTCACCTTCTACCACTTGGCCTCCAAGACAGTCGACGAGAAGGAGCTGGATGCGCCAGTTCGCCTCTTCCGCCAGAAGATCCCATATATGTTGGAGGCTGCCAATATCCCCAGGGCCCAGACCAGCGGCAGGCGCGGCAGCGCGGGCTCGTCAGCCTCCGAGGACTGGAAGCACGCCAAGCACTTGCTCAAGTAGCTTCGTGCCCTGGCTGACTATGCAGCGCCGGGAGTCGTCGCAGTAGGCGACGCTAGGGCTAGAGGAGAGGATGGAGGAGGAGGAGGAGGAGGAGGAGGAGGAGGAGGAGGGGGAGGAGAGGAGGAGGATGAGGAGAAGGAGGAGGAAGAGCTGGAGAAGGAGGAGGAGCAAGAGGAAAAGTAAGAGGACAGTGGGGAGAAGGCGCTGGAAGGCTAGAAACTGACGCAGTTCAGTCGCTGTGCCGATAGTACATACAGACATATGTTCAATACACCTGCGGGATTTCGAGCCCGTCGTAGGTCTTTAGTCAGGGCACCTTGGAGACCTGGGAGGCATCTGGAGGTCCCTAGCCTTGCCGAGTTCGGTCCGACTTTTGGTTTTCACGGCCGCCACGCCTGCCCATGTATGCCACAACTAGATCGGCGGATCGGGATTTGCAGTTCTTCCGTTTTTCGAGCCTGGAGGTTTCGCAGGAAAGCGGATATACCACTACCAGTAGTGGATTTCTCCACCCTTTTTCCATCTTCTTCTCCCACTCTCATTCCATACGCTGCGCTCGCCCCACGCCGTGGCAGTGCTGTGCAGTGGCGCGCAGACAGCCAGACAGCGATGCAAAACATGGAAAACCCTCATCTCGGCATCCCCCCCAACATACTTATACTATGTGTTCGTCGCCCCCCCAGGGGCGACGCGCGCACCGAGAAATCTTATAGTATATGCGTCGTGGCGGGCGCTTTCTGGCCACACCGCTCGGGAAACGATATACTACAAAATGGGTATACTATATGTTCGGGTCGGACGCGCGCGTCCAAGGATGACATATAGTACTAGTACGTTTTTGTGCACCCCATCATCCTCAACATCATCACTCCTCCTCCCTCTGCGCGGGGGAGAAGGGCCTCCAGGGCAGCCCAGCCGCGGTCGCGGCGCCGCGAGGGCCCGACGGCGGCGTTTGCTGCTCGACGTCGGCGGCAGCGCAGGGCGTAGGGCGAGGAGGAGGAGGACGAGGAGGAGGAGGAGGAGGACGAGGAGGAGGTTGAGAACCCCCTCCTCTCGATGCCGTCGCCGCCCTCGCTGCCGCGCCGCCGCCTGGTGCCGCGTCGAACCGAGCCCCACGCCCAGACCCGACGCCCTGCCGTGAAACGGAAGAGGAGGGAGGAGGAGGAGGAGGAGGAGGAGGAGGAGGAGGAGGAGGAGGACGAGGAGGAGGACGAGGAGAAGGACGAGGAGGAGGAGGAGGAGGCCGCCGTCGCTGCCGCCGTCTTCATCGTCGTCCGTCGTCGACGTCGTTCGTCGCCGCCGTCGGTCGCCGTCGGCATCGCGTCGCCGTTGCCGTCGGCCGTCCCCCTTTCTGCTGGAGGAGGTGGTCGCGTGCTCAGTGTCTGCGTCGATGTTGCTCCTCGTCGTCGTTTTCGCCTTCTCATTCTCATTATTCGTCGTCGTGGTCCTCTTCCGCCTTCTGCGCCGCCTCCTCTTTTTCTTCCCAAAGTTTGCGCATCCGCACCCTCTTTCCTGCTCATCCTCCTCCTCCCACCTCGCCCAAGGGGGGTTTCCTTGAAGCCTTTTGGCCTCCCCCCCAGGGATGGCGAGGAACATACCTACCAACCTAGTGTTTCTTCTCCTCATGCTCGTCCTCATCGCGTCCTCGTCCCCTTTCTCTCCCAACCCATCAGGCGGCGGATTGGAGCGGGTCGGAGGAATGAGCCAGGAAGGGATGAGAACGGGTCGGGTGGTAGGGAAAGAAAGGCGCCAATCGAAAACAATAGTGGCGGCAACCGTCCTCTGATGTTCCGTGCTCCAACAGCGTCAACCTCTTCTCGATGGTGCCGATTCGCGCCTCCGTTTTAAGGTGCAGAAGCTGGTGTGTATATGCAGACACATACACACATATACATACATATTGACATGTGGCAAAGAAGGCTGGCTGGGTTTCCCGGGCCACGTTGCCCTCACATAGGACGATAGAGGGCGGGCTACGTCGGTCGCTGCTCGCTCAGCACAGCCGTTACAGTCGAAGTAATAATGCTTTGAAGATTCAGGAGCTTCGCCTGCCAGTGTCGCTTGAAGTTCGGGGGTGGCCAAGAGGGGGGCGTCCAAGAGGGGGGGGGGGTGGAAATCATGGCCGGTGGCATGTGCGCGGCCCAAAGGGGGGCCGGGGACGTAATGAAATAAGAAGAGGCGCCATGAAACCTGGGGAGATATCATGGCCCCCGCCATGATATCCACACCCCCCTAGTCATCACCCCCCTCTTTGCCGCCCCCGAGAAGGAGCGCCTGCGCGCCTCGTCGACCAGATGCCGCCCACCACACTGGCCAACAAACGATGCCGAACGTGAGGGTGTGAGCAGCGGGGCCCCGCCGGGGCCGCCCGTGGAGATGTTCACCTCGCCGCTGACCTCGCCTTCGCAGGGCGTCCGAAGCATACGCCGCACGGCCGTCTCGCCCGCCGCGGGCGCGAAATCCCGCGCCCTCAAAACCTGCGCCACGGAGGCCTCGCCACGTGGCGATCCAACGCCAGCGGCGCGACCCGCTGATCCGCAAGCGCTGTCGCTGACGGGCCACGGTGCAGCTTCTGGGATCTCCCTTCCGCCGCTCGTTTGAGGATCGTCGATTCGCTCTATCTCCGACCTGCCATCGGTCTCCCCGTGGCTCCGGTCCCAGCTCAGGAGATCGGTACGACTAGCCCCATCCGTTGCGACCCCATCTGCGAGCTGGCAACTTGCAGGCGTCCAACAAATCTCCGTGGACATCCTCGACAGCGACTCTCTGATAATATGAGAATGGCAACGTCGTCGCTGTCAATCTGCCCTCGACCTAGGCAATCGAAATTGCAGCGCTGCCGCGCACCAGCTCTGAAGAGAGAAGCCCTCGCCACTGCAACAGCTTCAAAGGACACCTCCTGCGGCAAACTCGCCGCCATAAATTCCATACCAAACCACTCAACCAGGGCTTGCACCTTTCTGGTCAATGCCGCCGGAAAGCGGGGCTGGCACGCGTCAGTGCCAAACGCCGGACGCTGAATGCGGCACCGTACGCATGATGTAATGTTAGCACGCGTGGACCCCAAACGACGCACTTCTAGCACTAGACATCTTTGCAAAATCTGTGATGCAGTTGAAGTTGCGCAGTGGATGTGGAAGAAATGTTGTTCGACCAATATATGTGGTGCAATATATAGGTTGTGCATCCTGTCTTGTGCATTCTATGTGCAACACATGTGGTGGAATCGATGTTGTGCAATTGGTTTGTACACATGAGCTGGAAACTGCCATGCTCTTGCAAAGTCCCCACACACCCATCCGCAACTTGGTTTGCAAAACGCGTGTGACGGCAATTGCCATGAGTGCTTGGCGCTGGTTGGTGCATCTCTGCGGCCGCGCTAGCCCGCGCACGGTCGCGCGCACAGCGGCCAGCTACTGTGGCGCGACCGACGCTGCCGCGGTGGCGCTGCCCGTTGGGCATTTCCCAACGGGCACTTCAATGCGAATCGTTGGCGTGGGCGGGCGCGGTATCATGGCGCGGCGCCGACAACGGTGGACACGATTCTGAGGGTAGCGATACTGGCGACGATGATGACCACGACGACGGCAAGGCCAATGGCGGCGCCGATGTTGATCATGCCCACCGATAACGATGACGATGTCCTCGCGTCGGCGATGGCGATGAAGGTGTTTGAAAGAATTCGGCATGCGCGCGCGGCCGACGCGCAAGAGTAGCCCGCGTGGTATTGTTTGGCACGGATGGTGCCCCCCCCCCCCCCTTCCAAAGCGCGCGCAAGGGCGTTCGAATGAATTCGACATGCGGCGCGAAAAGCCCGTTTGGCGGTATTCGATGAACATGTTGAACAACCGATAGTCTTCCGAAGAATCCACAAGACCGCGGTCGCAGGCTTTTTTGAAAACTGATGTTGCAAAACCCTACGTTCTATATTTCGGGACACTCGCTTTTGAAATCCTTACGAGGACGGCATGCGCGCGCGATGTCGCGCGCGCGCACGCCGTCCCATTTTTGGCAAGGGATTATTACAACAGCACGCGCGCAAGGGGTTTCGATAGGTAGCGCGCGTGCGATAAGCCCGTTTGGTGGCATGTAATGACAGCGTTCGAAAGCCGCTGGTTTTCTTAAGAATTCGCTAGTGCGCGGCCGCAGGCTCTTTTTGAAAACCCGCGCTGCGAAACCCTGCGTTTGTTTTGCATGTGTTCGGGGCGCTCAATTTTGACATCTCTACGACATGTGAAGTTTTGATGATTCCGGCACGCGCGCGCGACGACGCGCGCGTCTGCCCTACGCCCCATGCTGTTTGCAACGGATTATTGACAGCGTGTGCTTTTTGATAAACGAGTGCGCGCGTAGAAATTGCTGCGAAAGATGAAAGGGCGGGGGCGGGGCGAACTCCGGCCTGACCAAGATGGCACACATTCAGATTTAAGGTGGACGATGGGCCGGAATCATAAACGAATTGCAATACGGAATGGTGCGCCGCTGGCCTGGGGGGGGCGAGGGGTAGATCCGGATCCTTTTTCTCGAAAAGGAACGAACGCCTGTTGAAAACACCAGCGCTCGCGCAATCACCCCGCCCGCCCACCCGCAACTTGATTTGCAAAACCGATGTGGCGGCGACCGCGATGAGCGATGGGAAGTCGGCCGGCGCGTCTCTGCGGCCGCGCTCGCCCGCGCATGCCCCCGCGCGCAGTGGCAAGATAGTTTGGCGCGAGGCACTTCCCAGCAGGCGTTTCAGTGCGAGTCGGCGACTTGGGCGGGCGCGGCATCATGGCAACGTCGACAGCGGCAGACGCGGCGATGCTGATTGCCATGCTAACGACGACGATGACAACGACGACAACGCGGCCAGCGAGGGCGCCGATGCTGATCGATCGCGCCGACGGCGACAACGGCGCCCTCGCGTCGGCGACGCAGGTTTTGGAAGGAGTTCGACACGCGCGCGGCCGACGCGCTAGGAATGGCCCGCGCGGCACTATTTGACGCGGATCGCGCCGCACCCCCCCCCCCCCCCCAGCGCGCGCGCCAGGGCGTTCAGGTGATTCCGACGTGCGGCGCGAGGGGCCCATTTGGCCGAAGTGGATGAACACGTTGGCAAACCAATGGTTCGCTTAAGAAATCGCAGGAGCGCGAGCGCAAGCATTAGTTGAAAACTGACGTTGCAAAACCACGTGCTTGTTCGATCTGTTTTTCGGCGCGCTAAATTCTTAAAATCCTTGACAAGCCTAAGGTTATGACAAGATTTCGGCGCGCGCGACAACGCGCGGGCGCGTCGCCCCACGCTGCGCAAGGAGTTCTTGCGACAGCGCGCGCGCGCGGTCGTTCGAGCGACAACGACGCGCGCGCGAGAGGCCCGCTTGGCACAAGGCTTTGGAAAGAAAGAATTCGCAAGGTCCCTAGCGCAAGCTTCTCTTATGCAGGAAAATATTGAGACATATTGCGACGCTCGGTTTTGAAATCCGGACGAAACCCAAGGCGCTCGACGCGCGCGTGCGCACCTCGCCCCACGCTGCGCAAATGACTATTGAAACTGATGGCCTGCTGGGACGGGCCGAACTCGGATTGGAAGACGGGGCAGAACCGCGCGCAATTTGCAACGCGGGAAAGAATGACGTTCATTCGTTGATGTTCACGGGGGGGGGGGGGGGGGGGGGGGGGGGGGGGGGTGATCATAGCGCTCTTCTAGAAAGGATACCCTACGCGGCGCAACCTATTCGAGCCTATGTGGCGCAAACGATGAGGCGCAATTGAACGCGCTGCAGCGCGCGCGACAGCCTCCCGCGCTCGCGCAGACATCCCGCCCTCCCGCCCGCATCTTGGTCGGCAAAACTCACGAGGTCGCGACTGAAATTGCAGCGTGGAGCTCGTCCGCAGATGTCGTCGAGCCCACTGGCGCGCGGACCCTCGCGGCGCGGGCAAAGTCCACCTGGCGGGAAACAGCGCGGACGACGCCGTCGACAAAAGGAGATGAAGTGGCTGGCAGAACCCGTAGCCGCGAGAACAGTCACAGCTCCTCCGATACTTTCATCGCATTCATTGGCGCGCGGGCGCTCGCCACGCGGGCAAAGGCCATCTTGCGGGAGACAGCGCGGACGACAACGTCGACAAGTGACGACGATAATGACCGTGGCGCTTCCGACGGAAACGATGGCGATGGCGGCGCCCCGCGCGGAATTATTCGCAAGGAATCCCGCCTCTGGCAGGCGCGCGAGAGCACTGCACCATGTTCGACGCGCGTGCGCGAAGGCCTCCTCGGACAGGGACGTCATATATGAATATAGAAAAAAGAAAAAAACGTTCAAGGAATCCGCAAGCGCGCGGGATGAAATGTTGATATATATACATATATATATATATGTGTGTATATATATACATACATATATATATACGCATATAACCCCACACCCACGGTAATAATGCCCCCCCCCCCCCCCCCCCCCCATACACATAAGCGTCGATTATCCACGGCCAATGAGAGTTTGGTCGGGGGCGCGGGGCGCGGGGGCCGAACTTCATTATCACCGTGAAAAGTTCGCCATCGAGGTTACTTCCTTCTTATGTTGAGATAGCAACATCAAGCGAAGCGAACACGCATTTTCAGGATGTCTCAAGCGAAACCAACAATTTTGGGAGGCAGTCTCAAACGAAACGATCAATGTTTCAAGGATGTCTCAAGCGGAACCAGCAATTCTTCGAGGATGTCTCAAGCGAAGCGAGAAACTTGTCGAGGATGTCTCAAGCGGAACAAGCATGTACTCGAGGATGTCTCAAGCGAAACAAGCATACACTGAAGGACGTCTCGAGCGAAACAGTACGTTTCTTAAGGATGTCTCCTTC